CAGGCCCACCACTTTTAGGGCAGCTCCAGCCAAGAACTGCACACAGGGCGGGCATTGGTACCTGACACTCTTGGACAAGATCTAGTTCTTGGGCAATCCTACCCAACAGAGGCATCCTCACCTACATCATGGTACCACACTCTCCCAACTTGGGCTTGCTTTCTCCTCTGTTAACTATCCCATGAAGCCACTTTTATTTTTGACTCCAACACTTGAAATCTTTAAACCCTGGACATTATACACATGAGCTTGTTTTCTTTTTTGCTTGCTTTAATTGTATTCTTAATTTTGTGCAGTTTATTTTTTTAAAAAATTGGTGAAATTGTGTATACATTTATCATGTACAACATGTCACTTTGAAGCATATATATATATGTGTGTGTGTATACCTTGTGGAATGGTTAAATCATGTTAATTAACATATTATTAACAGCCTGAAATATTTTTTGTACTATAAACACAAAAATCTATTATCAGCTATTTCTGAGAATACTATATATTAAGTGTATGTGCTATTAACTGCAATCACCATGTTGTATAGTAGATCTGTTGAATTTATTTCTTCTGTCCACCTGAAACTTTGTGTACTATAACCACTGTCTCCCCATCTGACCTGATCCACAACCCTTGGAAATAACCACTCCACTCTCTACTTCGATGGGTTCAATTTTTAAGGATCCTACATGTGAGATCATGTGGCATCTGACCTTCTGTGGTTGCCTTGTTCCGCTTAGCATAACACATTCTGGTTCGTCTCTGTTGGCGCAGATGGAGTTCTTTTTCTATTTTTAAAGTCAGATAGTATCCATCATATATATGTACCACATTTGCTTTCTCCACCCATCCACCAATGGATACTTGGGTCATTGCCCTTCTTCTCTTGGCTATTGTGACTGATGCTCCAGTACACATGGGACTGCAGATAGATCTTCAACATACTGATTTCATTTCCTTTGAATACAGATCTAGCAGTTGGGATTGCTGGATCAAATTTCTTTTTAAATACATGGGAAGATTGGTTTTAAAACCTTCCAGGCTCAAGTTAAAACCTGACCTGTATTTATAGAAAAATCCAAATCAAAGAGGCTTGGTTCTCAAGGGTACAAGAACAAGCATTCTCCTTCACTTAGCAGACTTCATCCTTGAGGTCTTATCCTCGAAAGCTTTTCTCGGAGAGTTTTTCCTCAACCCTCCTGACTTCAGGAGCTTGTTGGAGGCTCTTCCTTTTTTCCCCTTTCTCTGTTGTTCATTGTGGTAGTTTGAATGTAATTGGCCCCCAAAATCTCATAGGGAGTGGCACTGTTAGGAGGTAAGACTTTGTTGGAGTGGGTATGGCCTTGTTGGAGGAAGTGTGTCACTGTGGGGGTGGGCTTTGAGGTTTCCTATGCTCAGGATACCGCCCAGTGTGTCTCAGTCCACTTCCTGTTGCTTTCTGATCAAGATGTAGCCAACACCATGTCTGCATGCTGCTGTGCTCCCTGTCATGATGATAATGGACTGGACTTCTGAAGCAGTCAGTGAGCTACCCTGATTAAATGTTTTCTTTATAAGAGTTGCCGTGGTCATGGTGTCTCTTCATAGTAATAAAAATCTAAACTAAGAAGTCGTGAAATATCATTTTGGCTTCCTTGTCATAGCATAGGACTTGTTGAAATGAGCACTACTAGAAACTTCAAGGCTATCCAGTTTGAGGATCCATCTGGTGTCGAGATGCTGTAGACCATCTGAACCAGTGACTGTCCATCTTAACTTTAAGACAGGGAATGAACGCTATCTAACACAGTCCATTGCATCTTTACAGCCAAAGTTTATCCTTTACTTTCTTCTTAACCTTTTTTTTTTCAAGACAGGGTTTTTCTGCATTTCAGCCTTTGCTATCCTGGAACTAGCTCTTGTAGACCAGTTGGGCTCAAACTCACAAAGATCTACCTGCCTCTGCCTTCCAAGTGCTGGGATTAAAGGTGTGGGCCACCACTGCCCAGTTCTCTTTTTAACCATTTTTAAAATTTCAATTATAGTATATGTGTGCATGTGTGCATGCATAAAGAAGGGGTCAGTGGATATCAGGTCACTTGAGGCTGGAGTTTCAGGCAGTTGTGAGCTGCCTGTTATGAGTGCTGCACATCACGCTCGGGTCCTCTGCAGAGCAGATGTGTTCTTAACCCACATCTCTCCAAAATGGGTTTCCCTGTAACGCTTTCATGTATGCATCTAACATACTTTGATTGTGCTTAAACTCTATCATTGTTTCTTGTGTCCCCCCTCCCCTACTCAGTCTCTCCTATTCCTAATTAGTCTTCCTTTCACAGCCATCTAGGTTTGAAAACCATATAGGTTTTCAAAAGCCTAGATTCTGCATATGAGGGAAAAAAAAAAGCAACCCATGGCCATTTTGTTTAGCATGATTACTTCTGGTTCCATTTCCTTTTCTACAAATTCCGTAGCTTCATTACTTATGGATGAATAAAATTATTGGTGTATACATATCACGTCTGCTTTATCCATTCACCTGTTGATGGGCACTTAGGCTGGTTCCATAACCGCTACTGTGAAGACCATTGCAGTAAACTTGAGTGTGCAGGATCACTGAAGGATGCTGATTTAGATTCCTCTGAGTGTATTACCCAGGAATAGCTATATCATATGATAGTTCTCTTTTCAGTTTTTTAAAAGAGCCTCCATACTGATTTCCATAGTGACCTAATTAATTTATATTTCTACTACTTTCAGTTCTACATACAGTTTCATTTCTGTTATTGTGTTAAAATGCCCTAAAAGCAACTTAGTCGAAAAACTGTTTTGGCCCATGATTCCAGGCTACAGTCTATCAAAGCAGGGAAACAGTAGCAGGAGCCTAAGACTGTTGCTCCGGATGAACAAGAACAGAGAGAAACAAATACATGCATGCTTGCTTCTTTGCTTATGCTTGCCTCTTACACAGTCCAGGACCCCTGCCTAGGGAATAGTGCTGCCTACAGTGGGCTGGATCTTCCCACATCCATCAACCCCAAAGACATACCCATAGACTAACTCAGTGTAGATCATCTGTCATTGAGACTCTTTCCCCAAGTGATTCTAAGTTGTGTCAAGTAGACATGTAAAGCTAACTGTCCACCACACTGCCAAGAGTGCACACAGGGGTTCCTTTTCTTCCAGGATATGTTTCTCATACCTTGGTTCTCTACAATCTCTTCTCAAATCTGATTTTTTCCATATCTTTGATCAAGATGGATAATCCGAATGATTTGAAATATTTCTATGCCATTAACAACTCTAACAAACTCCTTTTAAAATGATTGCTGTTATTGTTGTTGTCATTTTCCTCTTGAGACAGGGTCTCCCTATGTGTAGCTCCAGCTCACGATGTAGACCAGGGTGGCCTGGAAGTCAGAGCAATCCACTTGCCTCTGCCTCCTGAGTGCTGGGTGTTAAAAGGTGTGCACCACTATGCCTAGCCTGAAACAGAATTTTAAAAGAGAATCAGCCTTTCCGTGCTGTCTGGGTGGGTGGGGGGGTATCCAAAGGATGTTTCTCTCAATTCACATTGCAATTTAAAGGGAAACTCACACAGTGTCTGGAGCCCTTGACATCCTGCAAGTGAAGAAGAAGAAGACTGTCCTCAAACTCCTTGCAGTAGGAACTCACTTAGGTGGCACCAACCTTGACTTCCAACTGCAAAAGGCAAAGTGATGATATTTACATCCAAAATCAGAGGAGAACCTGGTGAAGCTGTTGCTGACAGCTCCATCCATCATTGCCACTGAGAAACCTGCTGATATCAGCATCATCTCCTCTAGGAACCCCTGGGGCCAGCCAGCTGTGCTGGCCGCTCCACTCCTGGAACTTTCACTAGCCAATCTAAGAGAACTTCAGGGAGTGATGTCTTCTGGCGGTGCCCAATCCCAGAGCTGACCACCAGCTTCTCACGAGGGTGTCTTATGTTAACCTACCTACCATTGCCCTGTGTAACACAGACTCTCCTCTGCACTGCTGGCATTGCCATTCAATGTGACAAACGGGTATTCACCCAGTGAACCCTGTTTGGTGAGAGTTCTGCACACGTGTGGCACCATCTCTGATGAGCACCAACGATGCCCATCTGGTCATCCCCGATTCCTACTTCTATAGAGATTCTAAGAGACGGAGAAGGAAGAGCAGGTGCAGAAAGAAAGATTGTGACCAAGAAGGAATGTCAGGGTGAATGGACCATACTTCCTCCTGAGTCCACTGCTTCCAGATGGGAGGTGAGAGACTGGCCTGCAGGTCTGCATGTGTCCTCTGTCCTCATGCAGCAGTTCCCCAGTGATGATCAGAATGTTCGGATAGCCACTGGGGTGTAGTCTGCAGGTCTCACTGCGCAGGGTGCGGAATCAGATGCAACCACCACTGAGTGGTCATCAACTGTTTTACAGACACTTGAGCAGCAGAGAAAGGTGGCTGGAAGACAAATAGTTTCTTAGAAAACAAGGGATCAATCCCCCATCCCCAAATAGCATCCCAGGTGGGAATACAGATAGCTTTAAACAAAAGGACTTCTCTCACTCATCCTTTCTAATGCTGTGAGTGTGCACTTAACAGGGGCCAGGAACAGTGAAACATACAGAAGAAATAAACAATAGACTATCAGGGGAGATAGAGAGCACAGCAACACAGGATGCACTGAGGTGGTGGGGAGTGCATGCCGAGGGCCGGCAGCAGGCTGGTGCGTGCATATACGATTTCCATGGGATCTGGACATGCAGAAAATTGGAAGTAGAAAGTTGTTATTAGGAAGTAAAACTTGAGCTGAGTTTGGGGGATGGGCAATCTGAGTCAGTGGATAAATCATCTGACTATTAGACTGGGGAGAAATGTCCCACGAGGGCCAGGGAGGAACTTAATGGGGACAGAGGAAGTTGGAGTGCAAAGAATTTCCCTCTCTGTTCCTGTCAATATCAATCAGTCATTCTTCTTGGAGAACCCCATACTGACTTCTCTTTCCACAGCCTGTGGAGCTGACCAGGCCATTCTTGCCAGGCAGGGATTGCTGATATGGGGGCCTTTCTCTGGTCACTCCTTCTGCTGCTTCGGGAAGGTGAGTAGCTGCCTGTGCTTTGTTCCTCTCGACTCTACTTGGCCTTAGGCTAACAAGACCCTTCCTTTAGGGATGAATGTGTCAATCCTGCTGATGAGCACCTCGGCTGATTCTCTAGCTTGGCTATTGTGACATGCTCTGCTGTAAATGTGGGTGTGCATGCATCATAGCCTTATGTTGGCTTAGACTGTACTGAGTATGTACCCAGGAGTGATATAGCTGGATCCCAGCCTAGTTTTGAGAAACTTCCATTCTGATCTCCAAGGGATGGGGTATGGCCTCAGAGCGGGACGAGAGAGGAGGATATCTGGGGGACATGGATGGGGTTGCAGTTCAAGAAGGACAAGGGAAGAGGAAAAACTTTGGATGTCGAAGAGATAAAGGGGGACCATTCCTGGTCGGCTTGGGTGCAGTGGAAATCTAGAACTACAAGAGGTAGCTAGAGAGTCACACTGAACAGGGAGCTAGGGAAGGCGCTCAGATGAGGAGCAGCCACGGCTACCATGCCAACTAGCCTTGGTCTCCCAGAGATATCGGCTGGCCTACATACGTCTCTTTTCAGTCAAAGGGTTTTCTGGAGATGATGAGGACCCTGAGGACGTGGTTGCAGCCCTTCAAGAGTCTATCAGCCTCTCTCTGGAAATACCACCCAATGAAGAGGTTGAGAGCATCACCTGGTTCTCTCAAAAAAACCTTGCCATAGTGGTGCCAGGGAAAGAGGGACAGCCGGCCAGCATCAATGTGATGGATCCTCGCTACAGGGGTCGAGTGGACGTCTTGGAGTCCAGCTACTCTCTGTATATCAACAATCTGACTTGGGAGGACTCGGGACTTTACCAAGCCAAAGTCAACTTGAAGACATCCCAGTTCTCTATCACGAAGTCTTACGATCTCCTTGTCTACCGTGAGTTTAGACTCCTATTATTCTCTCTTTCCTGAGGTTGGCATGGGAGCTCGGGGGCTGAGGTAAGCTTTAAGAGGCTGAAACTGGAAGGCAAACTGCCTCAAGTGTGCTCTGCTCTAGTGTCTGAGCTCAACCACAGGGAAACTGAGCTGGAACAAGGAGCCATTAGGTACTGAGGCTCCTTCCACAGAGGTTCCCAAAGCAGTGAGTGATGAGGATCATGTATAGCAAGGGTATCTAAGGGTTCTTTCTCACCCAGCAGACTGTGCATCCTCTAGATAAATAGCTCCTAGCCCCTTATCCCCTTGTGGATTTGAGGGTTACTAATCATTTCTTTCCCGTTTGAGCCAACATTTCTTCTCTCTACCTGCTGTACTGAATCTACTTAGGATCTTGGAGAGACGACTAAAATGTAAATACCCTTGGGAGGGTGGTAATGTTTTGTACAATCAGTGAGACAGAGGAGAAACTGGGAGAAGTAGGGGTCTAAAGCTGAGAGAGTGAAGTTAGAAGGAGTATCGGTATACATCTGTCTAAGCACATTCCCTGGGACCCCGCAACCACAAATTAGATGCTTGTTTTTATCTGGTTTTATTTATTTATTAATTTATTTATTTTTGAGCAAAGGGCCTCTCAGGATAGCTAGAATACCCAAGGCTTGAGAAATGTAGGAAAACAGACCCAACTTCAGAATGTTCAGTAGGTCTTTGTGGTTTTTTGTTTGTTTGTTTGTTTTGTTTTTGTTTTCTCTCTTTTAGGGCGACTGTCAAAGCCCCATGTCACTGTGACCTTTAAGATTTCCGAGGAAGGTGCCTGTAATATATCCCTGATGTGCTCTGTAGAGAGAGCAGGCATGGATGCGACCTACACCTGGTTTTCCTCACAGGACAGCACTAACACTTCTCGTGAAGGCTCTGCCATCAGTACATCCTGGAGGCCCGGTGACAGAGCCCTTTCCTACATTTGTAGGGTCAGCAATCCCATCAGCAGCACCAGCTCCCGTCTCATCCCTGTTGGGTCCTTCTGTGCAGGTACCAGAACCCTAGAGACAATTCCTGAAACTGTGCAAGTCCAGGGACTGAGGACACCACCTCCTCCCATGCCTGGGGCTCTTAAGGAGAGTACTGGACTCTAGAACACAATGTTCTCCCGTAGAAGCCTGCTATTGGATCACAGAGGTGCCCTTCCTTTGTCAATTGCTCTGGATTCCCAGAGGATTCTTCCGTACTTGGCTTGAGACTGATGGCCAGATATCAGTCTTTGAGCGTCTGTGCCCAGAATAGGTATTTCTAGAGACATGTGCTGTAAGAGATGAGCTGATTATTCTCCCAAGAGCCTTTCTGAGACACTTCAGGCAGACATCTGCCCTCTAAACTTTATCATTCTTTTAATGAACTCTTGTTTTCTTCCTATCCTAGATCCTGGCTCGCCAGAGAAATCTCCAATGTTCTGCCTCCTGGCCAAGGGCTTGCTCCTTCTCTTACTCTTGGTGACTCTAGCTGTGGGACTCTATGTCTTCCGAGCCCAGAAAAAATATGAGATGTCAAGGGTGAGGAAACTCAAGAGAAACCGAATTAAACTGAGGAAGAAGAGGAAACCTGGTCCTAGTCCAGGCTCACCATCCCTGGGGGATCTCTGTTCTAAGCTCTGACTCCTCTTAGCCTCCAGGGAAATCATCTGTGGGGCAGGTGGGAGGGCAGACCAGGGTTAAACACCTGAAAGGACCATATTCCCTGAGAGACACCATCTGGCAATAAAGTCAAGTTCCCACCCCTCTGGAGGTTTCTGTTTGTGCTCAGCAGCCCAGAGAAAACCTGTTTTCCACCTTCTCTACCTGTTCTCCTGTCTTTACCGAAGCTGTGTGTCCTTCTCAGGCTTGCCTCTGGGCAGGAAAACAAGTCTGAAGACCCCGTTAGAGTGAAGTGTTTGTTTTTACTGTGTGCATCCCATTCTTCACTAACCTAAGTCTCACAATACTCTAAACTACACAGCAGGCATTCTCGCCTGATTGAACTTGTGACAGCCAGTCGTTTAGAGTTCTATATAAGTGCTATGCCCAAGACTCCTCGCTCTCCTACCCCTATCCTCATTCTGACAGGTAACTTTACTTAACTCTTCTACCCACTGTACCAAGTCTATATAGAAACCGTCCCACAAGGAGGTGGCGGAGGCCCCTGCTCAGTCCTTCTCTGGGTTGTAGTTGAGTTTAGTGACCTCTGTTGTCTCCCTGATGCCAACTGCTCTGAGCCCTGCTGCTCACCTGGTAGAAGTGACAACTTACTGGGTCAATTACTAAGATCTTGCACCCTTGACTTCTGTTTAAGGTTGACATAGTTTATCCAGGTGTGGGGGCCCACGCCTTTAATCCCAGCATTTGGGAGGTAGAGGCAGGTGGATCTCTGAGTCTGAGGCCAGCCTGGTCTACAGATCAAGCTCCAGGACAGTCAAGCGCTGGACAGAGAGACCCTGTCTGAGTTGGTTTTGTTGGCCTTCCTGTTTTCTTCTTACAGATTTCTGTTTCGGGCCTTCCAATTGGAATCTTTGGTCAATGTACAGCTCTTTCCTCTTGCTCTTTCCGTAGTCCTAGGTCTGATGTGCCTATCATATCGTTTTCCCCAACGCTCCATCTTGGGTGTTTTACTTAGGTAATTGCCGGGGGGGGGGGGCACAAGAGAAGCCACTTGATCAGTAGGACAGGTGTAAGTAACGAATGAATTGGTGGAGGTGATATAGGATGTGCCAAGGAGGGAGCTGGGGGAGATCTTAGGAAGCCTAAGTTTTGTCCTGCCACTTCCCCCTGTCCTGGGATACTGTGTTTACCCAGCATCCATCAGTTCAGTTCCACAAAGAACACATACACTACATAGGTGTAGCTTCTTGGAGTTCTTACAGAGACTGGGCCCCCTTTAGCTACTGAACAGTCTTGTCTTCAAAAAAGGTCTGTAGCCCTAACTTCTGACACTTTCCATGCCTGTCAGAGGAGGCACCACTGTTAGGTGAGGGCCGGCCTGGGCAAACAACCTAGAGTCTGTTTTTTCACCTAGAGGGACAGCCCATTTCTCTTGTCTTAGGAGCAGGCATACAGAAAGCAAACAGAGAAATGAATAGTCTCTGTGTGGCTTAGTCCAGGAATCTCCCTGGAGCCAGCAGAGTCCCTTCTTCTCAGAGCCAATCTCTGAATAGAGAAAGCCCAAAACAGCCTGGAAAAGGAAGGCTTAAACCTTGAAGAAAGTGTACACTCAGAAGCTGGAATAGGAATCCGGTAGCATGTTAAGATGCTCTTACTCGTTATTTGAAATAGGTTAATGCAAACCGGGGGATGGACATTCCAGCCAGACAGGAAACACACACCAAGATGCTCACATGTGAAGTATCATAGCACCTAGGGACTGCCATGCCACACACTATGATTAAAGAGTGCTTGAGAAAGCAGTTTGGAGAGGCATGCTCTAAACGGTGAGGAGACCAGGGCTCATGCACACATTGCCAACAGACTCCCCAGGTTCACGATTTTCTGATAGTCGCATCCACGAATTGAAATATACAAAGTCGCTGATATATTAGAGGCAGTACTGGTTGGCTGAATAAATTTTTCCAGAGGAGCAGTCACTATGGCTCAAGGACAAACGGGAGGAAAATCTTTAGTTCTCACCTTTAGGGATTCTTTTTTTAAAAAAAAAATCTACTTCACTTTTGGAGTAAGGAGGGTACAAGTGACAGGACTAGATTTCGTTTCTTATAAAAACAAAACAAACACATAAAATACATCAATCAGACAAAAATGACAATAATAAAAAACAAATATTCAGGAAAACCATGAACATATAAACTTTTAAAATTTGAAAACCATTTAAAATCTCATTTTTAAAAATAAATAATTTTAACATCCACATGAGATTAGCTTATCTTTCTACCAGAAACCACCATAGACAGCAGAAACGAAACTCTTGGACCAGAGGTGGGTACAAGTGTCTTCCAATTGGTGAGAGACCAAGAAATCAAAGACTTCCCCTTTTGAGCTTATAGTTTGCGGTTATGTTCAGGCTCTGTTCACTAACATGAAGTCATCTTGTCACTGTTAGGGTAGCCTACTATGCAAACTAGCAAAGCCGCTAGTTCTGGGTCCTTGTTGGGGCAGTGGGAAAGACCAAGTTTCTGTCCCAGTCTGCTTTCCCCTGCTCCAAGCTCTTTGTGTGGCTTCCAACACTCAGGCTCTTACACCTGGGAGAATGTTCCAGCTCTCAAGGCTTACTAAAGATGGAAGGCCAAACAAAACGATGGGATCTGATTTGGATGACCAGCATTCGGGGTGGTGTGATAGTGATGCAGGCGTGCTTAAAATCTTTCCCCAGGGTCTGCTCCCGACCCTGATGTCATTAACTTCATGCCTGTTACAGTCAGTGGGAGCTTTACCCAGTCAGTTCAGGGAGGGCTTCGGGAGGAACACCCTGGGAAGTTCCTGGACAATGTAGCTTGAGCCTGGTGGGAAAGCAAACAGCAAGCCTGCACCCCCACAACAGCGCCAAGCTGAGAGGTACTAATTTCTGAGGGCAGGTACATGCTGCCTGTGGGTGAAATGTCCCAAGGGGGTGGGTTCCGCCATCCAGGTTGGATCTCAGGCCCTGAATGTGCCTAGGTGGGAACTTTTGACTGGGCAGGTTCCTCCGTCTGGTCCAGCCGCTGTTTTCATACTAGTCAAAAGGAGCTGCACTCTCTTCGCAGGGTTTCAGTGCAGATTACGGGAGCAACGAACCAAAGCATGAATCTACCCCAGGGTTTGACACCTGCAAGGGATTCGGTGTAGAATCAGATATTTCATTCTTTCTCTTTCAATCTCCGTTTTCAGGGTGCCTGTCATTTCTTCCCCCTGGGCTTAATTTCTCTAGGTCTTTGGTGCTAGAAGCTGCTCCGGCAGCCCCAAACTAGGAGCTCAGCCTTCAGCAAGCTACACACAAGGGAGGCGCCTGAGCAAAAGCTGGGAGCTAGCCAATATAGACAGGTATTTCCAGTCCAGCGAAAGGAAATGGGTGGGGGTGGGGATAAAGAGAGGCGATCAGATGGGCCCGGGACTTGGGTGGATCCCCAGGGAGGGGGCGGGGAATCGTGCTCTCCCCAGGTGCTTCTGCTCCTGGCTCAGATTTCAACCTTCGATGCCTCCTTTGTGGCACGCTTGTTCGAAAAGGGGAGAAGGCCACGGGTAAGTTTTAAAGGAAGAAGGGCATGCAAGCAGCCTGCAAAGGGGATAGTCTTCTGCGGCTCTTGGTGCCCGGGTCGGTCTGACCCAGTAGCCCATCTAACTCGAGGCGGGAAGTGGCAATCAGCCTTCCCACACTTAGTTGTATAGAGCTCCACGAGGGGGCGACTGGAGCCCACGTGCGACCGCGTCCTTCTGTCTCTAAACTACAACTCCCAGGCGGCTCGAGGGTCCCGCCCGCCTTGCCCGGCCTCTGTGGGCTCCAATTGGATGCCGCGGGAGGGGGATTGGCGGTCTCCAGGGCGACGGGAGGCGCTCGGGGCATCTGAGGCGGGGAGGCGGGTCCGCCCCCTATTGTGTGGCTGCGAGAGCAGAGCTGTGCGGTGCAGAGCAGGTGAGGGTGGGGGTGTCCTGGGGCGTAGAAATGGGGTACCGGCGGGGAGACGGAGGGCAGTGAGGAGTTGTGGGGGCCAGAGGGAAGCGGGGAAGCTCTAGAGAGAAGTGAAATTATCTGGGGAAGCAGAACTAGGGTAGCTCTGGGAGCGAAGTGGAATCACTGATGGGTGAGTGGGGGTTCCAATAGATCTGGAAGAGTGTAAGAGGTAAAGGAGGGGAGTTCTTGGCGGGTTCCAAAAGAGAGGCGTTCCAGGAGCCAGAGAATACGAGGGAACAGAGAATTGTTGTGGTGGGCTATCAGAAGTGTATTATGGGATGAGTCCTGGAGGATTGGAGGGTGGGGGATTCCCGGGAGAGCAGGGTAGGGGAAAGGGGGAGGGCGAGTGGGAATTCTGGAGGAGGCCAGCCAGGGGTGCTCTGAAGCGAGGACCTGCTGCAACTGGAGATCAGGTGTGAGAAGCTGGAATTTTGCAGACACTGTGAAAAGTGTATGGCGGGGATGGGAGTCCTGGAAGAAACGAGGGACTGCTGGAGGGGATGGGAAGATCAAAAGGACAGAGGATGGATGGGGAGCAGGAGTTGGAAAGATTCCAGGAAAAGTGGGGTACGTCCTGGCGTTGCCTTGGTCACAAGACTCTTGGTCGAGCTAGAAGAGCATGGCCTCTGTATGGTACAATTGGAAGGTTTTCCAGGGAAGTCCAGGAGAGCTGACTGGGAGGAGCAGCAAGAGGCATGGGAACGAATTACCAGGGGTCAGACATACAGGGGTGATACTACCCCTGTGGAGGGTATTTTACAGATAGTGGTGAATTGTGTGAGGCCCACAAGAGGGTGGAGGCCTCAGAGCAGAGTCCACTAGGTTTGCCAGGCCCAGGTCAAGGGCCCTTTGGTCCTTTGTGACTGCCTTAGACACTGAGAAGTTGATATTGCTGGGAGTGCCTACCTTCCATGCTCCAGGTCAGGGCCCGTTTTGTGTATCCTGCGGACTCAAAAGCAGTTTTGGTTACTCTCAGATCATGCCTCTAGGGTTAGGGAATGGAGGGCCTGGCAAATCCTGGCACCCCCAGGATACTAGAGAGGAGTGTGTGGGAGTAATTAGGGTGAGGCGCTAAGTCGGGGTGTCTGGCAGAGAGAGGGTTCTCTGGCAGCATCTTGAAGAAAGTGGCTATAGCTGCCAACTCTGGATCTGTCCAGACCTGGAGGATGCCGCCTTCCTGCCTCCCTCTCCCCATCCTCTGCAGGTGGGGAAGGCAAGCTTCTCCTCTCCCAAGTCCCTGACTGACTCACTGCCAAAAGCAGTGTTGCCTGAGTGGAGAATATCTCCAGGCTCCAGGGTGCCACCCAAAGGGTGGGAAATGGGGTGAAGAATTGGATGTGGGCATTCTGTGGAACATTCTCTACAGGGGAAGGGGTTAGAGTCTACCTGAGGTTTGCTCTTGACTAGCTGTCTGCTTCTGAGCAAGATCCTGAGGGTCCTTACTGGTCACACGGGGCGGCGGTGGTGAATAATGGTCCCATCATGTCATCTGTTCCCTTCGGGAGAAAGGGCAGAAGGGTGGGGAGGCTAGTGCATGATGGATTTCCCATGTGCAAGAACCCTTAGTTCCCTTTGCTTACTTTGCTAACAGCAGAGTATCACTTGCCAGGCATTCCCAGAATTCCCTTGCTTTTTCTAGGATCTGCTCTCTTACCCGTGTAGTCTCAACCAGACAGCACTCTCTTGTTCTCTAGTGTTCACATCCTAGCTTACTCTCAGGGATTCAGGATCTCTGGTTTGGGAGCTAGGAGAGTCTAGCAGTGGTGGAGTCTGGCAGAAGTGAGGCTGCAGAGTTGGTCCCCAGCAGTCCAACCCCAAAGATCTCTGGTCTCTGCGCAGGTCCCTTCCTTTTCTCGATGCCTCCTTCTTCCAGGCACCTTGCTCCAACAGGGTTTTCTTCTGGTCTCCTCCACTGACCAACTCTTATGTTACCTTATATTTTGCATTTAGATCTGGTGGCTCTCCAGACTGGAACTGCTCTCTCAGGTGTTGCGCGAGCTAGGCATTAACTGGAAGAGTGAGAGCCGAAACTGGTTGCCTGAGGCGGATCAGAAGGACCGATGCTCTCTGGGATTGCTGGGCAGCAGACATCCTTCCGGCCCCTCCGTCTAGGCTCCTTTGGATAGGAGGGGCCGGGTGAGCAGGCCAGCTGGGCTATGATTTGGTGTCTCAGTCTGACCATCCTCAGCCTGGTCATCAGCCAGGGGGCTGACGGTGAGCCAGACCCCCGGGGATCACTGACTCTGTTACCCTGGAATGTGACTGTCCACTAAGGGGTTAACTGTGAGCGTAGGAGAGGGGCTAGGGCTGGCTCAGAGAGGTTGGGGGTTCCTCCCGTCCCAGTCCGTGCAAAGTCTTAAGGAAACCAGAGAGATGTTGATGGAGCCTCCCCACCCATATCTCATCTTGATCCCTTGCTGTTCCCTCATGCTACCCCACCTCGTTAGGTCGAAGGAAGCCTGAGGTGGTCTCTGTGGTGGGCCGGGCTGGGGAGAGTGCAGTTCTGGGCTGTGACTTGCTGCCTCCAACTGGCCGTCCCCCTCTGCATGTCATCGAGTGGCTGCGCTTTGGATTCCTGCTTCCCATCTTCATCCAGTTCGGCCTCTACTCTCCCCGAATTGACCCTGATTATGTGGGTAAGAGTTGTCCTTAAGTGGGAGGGGGGAGTGTCACCAACAAAGGAGGGCTGAGTAGGCTGCCCTGGGCCCTCTCCAAGTGCATCTCCTGCTCAGCTGCCCTAGCTGCTTTAGCAAGCATGGCCCTGCACCCCAGTAGTGCTAAATCATTGAAGGATTCATTTATTTACACATGATGCATGCACACATTAGAGCTTTGCTCTTTTAGTTATGTGCGGCCTGTTGCACGGGAGACCCTGCAGCCCTGTCCCAGGTATCCATCCTAACTTGCTAATTGTTCTATCCTCATCTCATGCAACCTTCCAGACTCCATCTTGATCTTCTGTAGTTTCCCCCACTTAGCTCTATGCTGGTCTTTCGACCTGCTGCTCCGTGTCTTCATTACTGTCCGGGATGCCAGACTAGAGGGGCCAGACTTTTGGGGGGAGTGGGCTGAAGGGACAGCAGAGTTGTAAAGATGTGGGCTCTTTGGGTATGAGGAACATAGTCAGAGAACATGAACACAGGCGGGGGTTGCCGGGGTAGGCTCCAGTTCAGTTCCCCAAAGGTCTAGGCATAGGCCTATGCTACAGCATTGACTGGGTCGCTGCTTGCGGAGGCTTCTGTGGAGCCATACTCTGTAGACCCCCCCAGTTGAAGAAGGACCTCTTTCCTACTGCACCCCAGCTTATTCCTAATCCTGGATGGAGCCTTAATCTGAGTGGTTCACTGGAAGGTCTCGGAGGACTTGTAGGAGTACGGGTCTGGGCTCCTGGGCAAGGGCGATCCTTGGTGCTTCCTTTTCAGAAGTGAAACCCGGAAAAGGCCACCTGGATTGATGCTAATGGGGTATCTTTTCTGGCTTCGGTTTGAATCCTGAGGGAAAACCTGGAATTGGTTGGGCTCTTGTCACGGGCTGGCTGAGCTGAGGGGAGGAGGTGCTGGCAGGTGCCTGCAGAAGAGAGTTTATTTTCAAACTGGGGGCAGTTATTGGCAAACAGCCTAGCTGGGAGTGTGCGTGTGTCTACACAAGCCCTGGGGACTTAATGAAAGTGGGCCTCAATTAGCACAAGTAGAGAGAAACAGCACAGGCACAGCCGGCCTCCCTGTCTGTGCCTGTCTGTGCCCAGGGGGCTTTGGCTGCAGGGCTGAGGCTGGACAAATTCAAATTATCGCCAGGCAGAGAGAAGGCAGGGGTGGGGGAGAGGCCAGGTGGGAAGGGCTTTCCCTGGGACTCCACCTGGGAGATGTAAAACTCGGTATTTGCTGCAGTGATCGCCTGGTATTGTTTGTTGGTTCCTAGACAGATGAGCCACGAGATGGCCTGCTTCCCTGTCTACCTGTGGGGTTTCTCCAGGTCTAAAGGCTGCGAGTTTCGAGCCTTTCAGTTTTCTTCTTACCTCAACCCTTTGTTCCCCATCTTGCCCCTGAGTGGCCTGGAGCTCCTGGTCAGCCACATGGGTCCTGCTCTGGTGAAGACCCCAGAGGGGAGGCCTCTGAGCCCATTAACCCTTTATTGCTTTGCAGTTCAGAAGAGGGGGGGGGCTCTCGGCCTTTGTGCAGGGGACTCACAATCGCGGTTGCTAAGCAACAGGAGGTGGAGGTTGCTGAGGACAATGCTGTTCTGTCATAAACCCTGTGGGCAAGTGGAGGGGAGACGTGGCCTGGGACGGCATGAGGCCCGTGGCCTAGAATGTGGGAGGAATCACAGAGAGATAGTAGCTTTGGGAACCACACGGAAGGGAGAGCTGGTTTTGGAGGGTTCTAGAAGCTGCGAAGTAGAGGAGCCTAGATGTATAAACTAGTACAGGCGTAGTAAAAGGGAATATACAATGATCTAGAACTAATAGATTAAGGTGGCTTCGGTAAAGTATTTAGCATAGCACCTGGGTAGTGTGAAACAGACCAGACTGGGGAAAGGCAATCTGGACTCAGGTTTCCTGGGACGGGTATTAGACTAAGGCAGAGTCAGGGAGACTGGCTCTTGGCCCTTGCTGTGTTTCTGGGATGCCCCGCAGAGGAGAAGGGACTTGTGTTTCGTGACCGTGCTGAGTTGCTTGACAAATACCTTCTAGCTGTCCATCTGGAAGGCCCGAACTCACTCTCATAATCCCCCCTTTCTGCCTTTGATCCTTCCAAGCCGGCTGCCTCGATGCTTCTTCCCAGGACTTCTGCGTGAACCTGTCCATGCTCATGGTTAATTTACCGTGGGTTTCTTGCCTCTGCAGAGCCCGAGAGAGCAGGCTCTGTCCTATGTAGGAGATCTGAAGTCCCTTAGGTTTGGTCATGCAGGAGGAGGGCAGGCCTGTCGGAAGTGGGCCCAGGAGATAGGAAGTTAGAGGACTGGACTCTAGTTACCTTGTTCTGAAACCCTGCAGCCCAGCAGTCTGGACCTCCTAGGGAGGTTAGTTTGTACATCATGCTGCACTTAATATTCTGGATAACAGACATCAGGACTATTAGCCATTAGCGGCTAACATTTCTTAAGTGAAATCGAAGATTATGCTCAGTGCCCTGAACGCTATTTGATTCTAATGTTGGTGTTCAGTGGAACGCTCACCGACTGGGGAGACCTGGCTCCATCTTCTAACAGCTATGTAATTTTGGAAAGCAGTTTAACATTAGTTCCTTCATCAATAATGGATTTTGGAGGAGGATTAAATATGGTGACTGTCTAATATTACATGGCTCATATTCAGCACTCAGTCTTTCTTCCTTCGCTCTGGAACTCAGCGATCACCGTAATGAAAAGTTCTATCCTGTGGGGCATTGGAGGAAGCTGCAGTCTGGGATCCGCTGGGCTTAGTGGCCTGGCAGGTGAGATCAACAGGACTCCTGAAGGTTTGGGGAAGGGTATTCTTATGCTAAATATTTACCTGCTAGGCCCATTTTTATCTCCTGGGCAGGGATTATACACCTAGACCTATAAACGGGTTCACCCATTCTAAAGAATCCTCACCCCGGGGACCAACTGTTGAAGGGAAAAAGCTCACTAGCCACCCAAGATCCTCTGGCTCTCATCTTTCCAGTGGCATCAAGGGCACACAGGCTGAGTTTCTACTTCAGATAGGCCACCCTAGGGTAGAGTGGAAGCTGCATGGAGAGTGGGCTACGCAGCAGCTTCAGGATTGCTCCTGCCAGGGAGGGTTGGGATAGGCAGGACTCAGAAAGCACCACCTGGGAGCTGCACTTGCCTGTCCTCTGAATTTTAGGGAATCCCATTTGTTCCCAGCAAAGGTCAAGTGGGGATGGGCGCCTGGCAGGTGCAGGGGGCTGAAGCAGCTGGACAACCCAGGTGAGAGGACGGTAGGCTTCAAGGTGGAAGGAGGCAGAGAGGGAAAGACCAATACTTAGGAGGTGGATTTGAAAGATGTAATAATGAACAAGTATATGGCAGGGGATGACGGAGGAAGCCAGGTTGTGCCAGGCTCCCCAGAGGGCAACCTGGAGCATGATGGTAGTTCACTGGGCATGGAAGAGGAAAGGGAGGAGATCCGTTATCAGATGACGACGGATGGGGCCAAGACTGAGTGTCAACTCCTGATTTCAAATCTGCATCTTATTCATTGGCTTCACAGCCTTTATTGGAGCATCCGGTGATGCCAGGTCCCATTGTCGTTATCTCCGCTTTACCTCTTGCTTTCCACCTCATCCCAATTTTCCCTTTCTCAGTTTTTACTGATGAGGAAACTGAAATTGACAGGTCTTGCCCCAAGAAGCATACAGCTGAGCTGGACTCATGCCTGGGTATTTGGAACTGCCAAGCCTGCACCCTTCTCACTTCTGCTGCCCTGCTAGGGGCTTCGCAATGGCGTCGGAGTGCAGGGTTCCCTCAGAGGAGGGTACTGAGGGGTTGGGTGGGCATCGCAGTCAGCCTGGTGGTATGCTGTGGGTGCTGACTTGGCAGGAATGAGGTGTCATTGTGTGCTGGGGTATGTGGCTTTGTGGGGCCACATGTGGTCAGTCAGCTGGGGCGTGGAGGGGAGGGGATGAGCCGAGAAGGCTGCTGACACCGCTGCCTGGCTGGGCTGGACTCCGGCCACTCTAAGGCGCTTAGGGCCACTGATAATAGCTCTGAGGGATTACAGGCTTTGGCAGGCGAGGTCTGGGTCCCCAGGAGGGCCAAACACTGCTGGGGATTCCAGGGACAGAGTCATCTAAAAGCAGGAGTATCCCCAGAGGACTTCTATCTTGATCTTATAAAGGGACTCAGGGATGGTGGACTTCTAGGAGTCCAGGGGAGACCAAACACTGGCTCTTCACTCAGTCCTCTATCAGTCAGAGAAGTCTGGACTATCTGAGGGTAGCATTCTCTCCATTTGCCATGCCTTGAATTTTTCTGGTCTGGGTCTCAGCTATTGAAAGACAGGAGCAGTCGGAAGGATAGCAATCTATTCTCAGTGATCCCATTTGTTCCTCTGCAGACCCTCACTCTTGGATAACAGACCTAGGCTGTTCTCAACCTCTGGGAATGGCCTGTGTGACCAGGACCAGAATGCAGGTGGGGGCCCCTGCAGAGTCCTTTCTTTCACCACCCTTGATTTAGTACTTCCCTCCTCACAGGACGAGTCCGACTGCAGACCGGAGCATCTCTCCAGATTGACGGGCTCCGGGTGGAAGACCAGGGCTGGTACGAGTGTCGTGTGCTCTTCCTGGACCAGCACAACCCTGAACAGGATTTTGCCAATGGCTCCTGGGTGCACCTGACAGTCAATTGTATGAAGCTGGGGAGTAGGTGGTGCAGGGAGGGAGGGGGGTGATGGGAAACCCGGCGGTGAAGGAGAAGAGGGAGCTCTGTCTGTCCCAGCGCATGGCTGATGCCCTGCCCACCCTGGCATCTGCTCACTGTGTTTGCTCATGTAGAGCTTGCCGCTTACCCCTGCTCCCTCTCCCCGCTTCAGTTCTTCAAAGAAAACCCAGTCAGCCTCTAGGCTCTGAGTCAGGAAAACTTCTTCCTTGGCGGAGGTCTTGGTTATGGTGTATTGGGCTCCGAGTGATACAGCTTACCCATGCATGGCTCTTTTCATCCGGGACCTTGCTTCCTCCTCAGCACTATACCGGAGACAGTTGTAACCAATTCCCATTTCCTAGGTGACACGGAGACAGAGAATCAGAGAGGCAGCGTGTGCCACCAATGAGTGGCGGGAGATGAGGCTAAGATCCACACGTGACTCTCCCCTAGCTCTGGACATGCAGCCAGTGTTGGGATGGTCCTATGTCCCTGGTACAGCAGACAGGTGTCCCTGAGCTAGTATTCTCATGTACCCGGGCAGGCAACAACTCTGAGACAGGTCTCCCTGGCTTTTGAATACTGCTTTGGGGGCTGATAGCCTTTCTGGCAGCCCCTGATGCCTCTTTCCCTCACAGCGCCCCCTCAGTTCCAGGAGACTCCTCCCTTAGTACTGGAAGTGAAGGAACTGGAGGCTGTTACCTTGCGTTGTGTGGCCCGGGGCAGCCCCCAGCCTTACGTGACCTGGAAATTCCGAGGACAGGACCTTGGCAAGGGCCAGGGTCAGGTGCAAGTGAGTGGGCCCCCTGGAATGGGAGGGCAAAATTGAGCGGGCAGGAGAAGCGCAGAAGCCAAACTGGGAGATGGGTTGGAGGGAGGGGCTGGTCATTGGCTTCCCTGAGCTGGGGTGCTGCCTCCCTCTGCTGGCCATCCCTGGAAGCGCAGGGTGTAAGGCTGACCAAACCGGAAGGGCCTTACTTAAGACTCATTACTTTGGTGCAGAACGGGACACTGTGGATCCGCCGGGTGCAGCGAGGCAGCGCTGGAGACTACACCTGCCAAGCCTCCAGCACGGAGGGCAGCGTCACCCATACTACACAACTGCTGGTGCTAGGTGCTCTTTGGTGGGAGGGCTGGGGACATGAGCCACCTATGTGAGAAGACAGGACCTGTTTTGCGGGGAAGCACACTGCAGATGGGGAGGAGGCTCAGATCTGAGGAAGGGGCCCCTGTAGAGAGAACACTGAAGTGCCATTGTCGTTGCTACTTTACAAGGGCAGTGCTGGGTCACAGTTAAAGGACAGAGACCTTGGCATCGGGAAGGCCCAAGAAGAAGCCTTGCCTCCCTCTTTGACCTGGGGCTAGTTACCTCATAATGTGCCTGCCTCTGAAACCTCACTTCTTCATCTGCCAAAGCAGAAAGATAATCTTGGCGCACTGGTTCTTGTGAGGGCTCAAGAGATGAGCCAGCAGTGGGCTAGGCATGAGGGCTGTGGTCGGTGCTGTGTGTATGTGTGAGCCTGTGCACTCAGGTCATTTCCCACTTGTTACTAACAGGCTGTGTGTGTGGGCCCAGCGATGAAGAAGGCAATGGGGGCATGGTAGCTAGATACAGTGTTGCAGAATGTGTGTGGTTAGGTTAGGCAGGCATTCTGGACCTCGGATTCACTAGGAACAAAAAGGAATCAGTCTGGCATGGGGACAGCCAGATGCCCAGACTGGCTAGATGACAATGACATACGGAAAAGTGGGTGGCCAGGAAGGGGTTATGGGTAGGTAGGCACTAGGCTGAAAGTTTTTTTTTTTTCTACATAAAAGGCCATTAGTGTTGAGGTGACGTGGGAGTCTAGATCCTGGCATCGGCACAGCATCTTTGATGACGGATGGGTACCTATGTGGGAGACACAGATGTGACGGGGACAGAGTAAATGAAAGAGTTAAAACTGACCCTCGTTTACATACAGTTTCTAAGCAGAGGGAAATAGGGTAACTAGAATTACCTGTCCACCTCTTGTGAAACGAGGCCACCTTGGAATAGGGAGCAGCCTCTGGAACAGGATGGGTTTTCAGTCACAGTTTCCGCTTCAAGCCCTCAAGGCCCGACAGCAACTTATTCTCTGTTACAAAGGGCAGAGCCAGAAGTGCCCCGAGGGTCCCGGGAAGATGAGGGGCTGAGGTCATCTTTCTGCTCTATGTTTCCCACAGGGCCGCCTGTCATTGTGGTGCCCCCCAACAACAGCACGGTCAATGCCTCCCAGGATGTTTCTTTGGCTTGCCAGGCTGAGGCATACCCCGCTAACCTCACCTACAGCTGGTTCCAGGATGGCATCAATGTCTTCCACATTAGGTAGGGTAGTGGAGACAGGGGATTGACGAGTAGCATGTGAGGGACTCCCTGTCTGGGCGAGGCCCAGGCTCCTCCTCACACATACCACATTGCAGCCGCCTACAGTCTCGAGTGCGGATCCTGGTCGATGGAAGCCTGTGGGTCCAGGCTGCTCAGCCCGATGACGCTGGCCACTATACTTGTGTGCCCAGCAATAGCTTTCCGCATCCACCCTCCGCTTCTGCCTATCTCACTGTGCTCTGTAAGTCTGAACCTCCGCTCCCAACCCTGCTCCCACCCCTACTCCCGAGACAGGCCCAAGACCCTGTCCCCCAACTTGTCTCTATGTTCTTTCAGACCCAGCACAGGTGACAGTCATGCCTCCCGAGACACCCCTGCCCATTGGCATGCGGGGGGTGATCCAGTGTCCAGTGCGTGCTAATCCCCCACTGCTGTTTGTCACCTGGACCAAAGATGGGCAGGCCTTGCAGCTGGACAAGGTACAGACTTGGGGCAGGGGAAGGAAGGTCTTAGCCAGGTGTTGTGATGGTCCAATGGCCAACTCCAGTGGGTGGCTAAGTGTAATTCAGTGCTGTGGTTAGGAAACATGCTTCTTACCAGATGCCATGTTGGGTGGTGGGTGTAGGGGTGTAACAAAGAAGTATCCATCCCTAGAGCGTTACCTTGGGGATAGAACTGCGACAGAGACTGTCCTGGGAGGCCAGAGAAGGAACAAGGCTTCGTTTGCTTTTGGGTCTGGTTGAGGAGGGAGCAGTAACAAATTCGGGGACCTTGGTGATAGATCTTGAAAAGTGGGCAGTCATTCCATGCAGAAACCACGTCAGAAAGGCAGGGTATTGAACAGTGTGTTGAAGAGACAACGGACCATGCAATGACGTGGGAGCAGCTGCGAGCACCTGTAGGGACTTGAGTGGTGTAGAAAAGGGCTGGAAAGACAGGTTGAGTCTTAAGGAAAAACTGCACGCCAACTTCATATGACCTCATTCCAAGCTGATTGAGATCTTTTGTTTGTCTGAGGAGACTATAAATTCTTTGAGGCTTTGCGTCTTTTCATCACACTGTCCCCGGGGCTTTTACAACTCTTACAACAATTTCGATAAATTTTCTGTTGAAAGTTTACAGAAATCTTGAGGCAATAGCAGCAGTGGGGTTTGGCGGTGGCAGTGGTGTGGCATCGGGGCTGTGAGTAGGGGTTCAGAGAGGGCAGCTGGAAGGTGATTAAGAGAGAGTTCGGGTGAGGGGTTGTGGGGCCTGAGCTAGAGAGGACCTGAAAACAGGCTTTGCACTCAGACCAGACCAGAATGACAAACGAGGATTTAGATACAAAGAGTGAGGGGCTGCACTTCATTCAGTAGCATGGGGGTGGGGTGGGGTTTCTTACAGAAGAGGATTTTGGAGTAGGAGATGCAAAATTTAGCAACGCAGTGCTGGGAGGACAACCAGGCAGGGAACCCCACCAACTCTAGGCATGGCATCCACGCTACTCTCTCCGCTATTGTTGGCACCGTGAAGCTGTGCTGTGCAGTCTCACACCCACTGATAATAGCCCCTGACAGGAGAGAGAAGTGGAGGTCTCGAGTCCAGAGAGAGGGTCAGGCCAAGACCTAGAGCTGATGGATCGGCTTTCCACGAGAGACATGCCCATATTTCTTCCTCTCTTGAGTTGCCTCTCTCCACCCCAGCTTTGCCTCTCGAGTTTCTCTCTACTTTTCATTTCCTCTGCCCTCTAGTTCCCTGGCTGGTCGCAGGGCCCAGAGGGCTCCCTCATCATTGCCCTGGGGAATGAGGATGCCTTGGGAGAATACACCTGTACCCCCTACAACAGCCTTGGTACTGCTGGACCCTCCTCCGTGACCCGAGTGCTGCTCAAGGTGAGGCTCACAGCCAACCTGCTGTGGTGTGGCTGGGTGGCTGAAAATAATACATTCTAAGCCATGTTTAGAGGGTGGAGACAGGCAGACAGGTGTGGGAGGGGCTCCTAAGTCTGTTTCTTGTGGTGGCCATAGCAACAGCCAGCAGACAACGCAGACATGAGACTGGGCAGTGGGACATCAGTCACGTACACATTCACAAAATGAGATATCTGTCTAATCTCAAGCCTTCTGCCTCCCTTGCAAAAGTCCCACAGGGAATGGAGGAAAGGGGGGGGGGGGAGGAAGGAAGGGAGAGAGAAGAGAGGGAAAATGATCTGTAGAGACTCACCTATCTCAGAGAGTCTGGCCCCAGCCCACCATTGCCCTTCAGTCCTATCTGTTGGAAGCAAAGACACAGAACTGAGAGATGGAGAATAAGTTAGAGACTAAGACAGCGTAGCAGGGGTCTGGGAAGGGGGGACACCCGAGCTGAGAGATGAGAGAGGGTCTGTGAAAGAGGCCCCTCCCAATACAGATCTGGCCTGCAGGCTCCCCCAGCTTTTATAGACCAGCCCAAGGAAGAGTATTTCCAAGAAGTGGGGAGAGAGTTACTCATCCCCTGTTCCGCCCGAGGAGACCCTCCTCCTACTGTGTCTTGGGCCAAGGTAAGGATCCCAAGTCCCAACTCGGCTCGACCTGGGTCCATGCCTGCTTTTCCCCTGGTTGTATTTTTGGAAAGGAGGACGTGTGAAGGTATAGGCTGTCAGAGGCAAGGTGGGGGAAGGATCAGACTGTTACCTGGAGAGATGAGTGGCTGGCCCCTTGGTGAGGGGTGGCTGCATATGTCCTTAGGGCTCACCAGTGGTTCTGTAGGTGGGCCGGGGGCTGCAGGGCCAGGCCCAGGTGGACAGCAACAGCAGCCTCATCCTTCGACCCCTGACCAAGGAGGCCCATGGACGATGGGAATGCCGTGCCAGCAACGCTGTAGCCCAAGTGGCTGCTTCTACCAATGTCTATGTGCTAGGTTAGTGGTCTGGGATGGGGCTGGGGAAGCCCTGTGAAACAGGAGATGGAGGTATTGTTCTTGGGAGGGCTAGGTGGGGATTTGTGGGGATGGGATTCCCCCAGGGTCATGGGTGGAGGACAAACCTCCGATGTACTCTTTACCCTACTTCAGGGTCCTGATCAGCATCCCTCCCTCCATTCCCCCTACCCAGGCACCAGCCCCCATGTCGTCACCAATGTGTCTGTGGTACCTTTACCCAAGGGTGCCAATGTCTCTTGGGAGCCTGGCTTTGATGGTGGTTATCTGCAGAGATTCAGTGTCTGGTATACCCCACTGTGAGTGACCTGTCCCTGACTTCACCCCGGATCTACCTGGCCCTCTGCCCTTCCTTCCATCCCTCTGTGCCTAGCCACACGCTAGCTCTGCTGTCTTTTATTTTCATAGATTCTTAACATTCAGGGCCAAGGTCCTGAGACTTTGGTGGTTGAGCAGAGGGGTGAGGTCAGCTCTTTGAAGCCCACACCATCTTGATCTTCCTTGCTGATGAGATTTCCCTATATTCCCCAGGGCCAAACGTCCTGATCGAGCCCACCATGACTGGGTATCTATGGCTGTGCCTATGGGGGCTACACACCTCCTAGTGCCAGGGCTGCAACCCCATACTCAATACCAGTTCAGTGTCCTTGCTCAGAATAAGCTGGGCAGTGGGCCCTTCAGCGAGATTGTCCTGTCTATACCAGAAGGTAAGGGGTCCCCATCCCTGCACCGCACAAAAAAAGGATGGGGAGGATCTGGGGTGGAGATGGGGCAGAGATGCTGAGCAGCTTGGAGTCCAGAGAGGGTACAAAAAGGCTGCGGCAAAATGTGTGGGTCTCAGAGTTGGGGAAGGCCAGGGGAGGGGCAGAATGAAGGAGTCTGAGACTCTTATCCCTCATTTGTCTGTCCCATCCAGGGCTTCCTACCACACCAGCTGCCTCCAGGCTTCCTCCGACCGAGGTGCCACCTCCTCTATCCCCTCCTAGAGGTTTGGTGGCAGTGCGGACACCCCGGGGGGTACTGCTGCATTGGGATCCTCCAGAACTCATCCCTAAGAGACTGGATGGCTATGTCCTGGAAGGACGGCAAGGCTCCCAGGACTGGGAGATACTGGACCAGGCTGTGGCAGGCACAGAAATCCAGCTGCTGGTACCTGGCCTCATCAAGGTGTGTGCAGAGAGGGAAGGTCCTCCTGGTGACTTGACCGTGTCCTTTTCTTCCCTAATCCTGTCTTCTCATCCTGACTGGGCCATTTTTACCTCCTGTCCTACCTCATCTTTACCTCTGACTGCAGTCTTCACAAAAGGGACAGTGGCGGGCAGTGCTGGCCCTGATCTGCTTCATGGCCCCCCACTTCTCATCCCCAGGATACTCTCTATGAGTTCCGCCTCGCGGCATTCGCTGATGACTATGTCAGTGGTCCCAGCAACATAGCCAACATCTCCACCTCTGGTGAGAACCCAGCGAGAGGGGGAGTTGCTGGAGGTTATATGGGGATACACAGTCCGCTGACCCTCTTTTCTGTCCCTTTGCCCAGGCCTGGAGGTGTACCCTTCCCGAACACAGCTACCAGGTCTCCTGCCCCAGCCTGTATTAGCTGGTGTTGTGGGTGGGGTCTGTTTCTTGGGCGTGGCAGTCCTTGTGAGCATCCTGGCTGCTTGCCTCATGAATCGGCGCAGGGCTGCCCGCCGCCACAGAAAACGCCTGCGCCAGGGTAGGTGCCCTCACTCCTCCATCCTCATCACTGGGGTGCTGAGTACTACTTGGCTACTTTTGAAAGGCTGCCCATCCGCCAGATGTCACTTCCTGGGAGAGTAGTTCCCCCCCCCCCCTTTGTTTTTTACATGGTCCTGGTGCGGCATCCTTCCAATCTGGTACCTGGCCCTTGCGTACCCTTTTCTCAGTTGGATGGGAATGCAGTTGAGGGTTATATCCCTGGAGCTTGGGCAGAACTTTACCTGGATCGCCTGCTGCTCTTGTGTCCTTACAGATCCACCTCTGATCTTCTCCCCACCGAGGAAGTCAGGCACGCAGTAAGTCCCTTGACTTCTTTGTTTTCCTTCTGCCTCCCCGTCGCTTCCTCTGTTGTACCTTCAGAAGGAATTAGAAAAAAAACAGAGGGAAATGAGACTAGAAGCGTGTTGGCCCCGGCTTGGGGACTAGTCCCACCTTGTTTATCTCCCTTCCACCCCCACCACCTGGCGCTGCCCTTGCTTGCTGGCTATAGCTCTGCTCTGTTGTGCAACAAACCTTGCATGGCCAGACCCCGATCTTCTATCTTTCCCTAGCTCTGCTCCTGGCTCAGGCAGCCCTGACAGCGTGACCAAGTTGAAGCTCCAGGGCTCTCCGGTCCCCAGCCTACGTCAGAGTCTGCTCTGGGGGGAACCTGCCCGACCTCCTAGCCCCCACCCGGATTCTCCAATTGGTTGTGGACCCTTGCCACTGGAGCCCATTTGCCGGGGCCCAGATGGCCGCTTTGTGATGGGACCCACTGTGGCCCCTCCACAAGAAAAGTTATGTCTGGAGCGGGCAGAACCTCAGACCTCAGCCAAACGCCTGGCCCAGTCCTTTGACTGTAGCAGTAGCAGCCCTAGTGGGGTACCACAGCCCCTTTGCATTGCAGACATCAGCCCTGTGGGGCCGCCTCCTGCAACCCCCCTACCAGGTCCAGGACCCCTGCTCCAGTACCTGAGCCTACCCTTCTTCCGGGAGATGAATGTCGATGGGGACTGGCCACCTCTGGAGGAGCCTACACCTGCTCCACCTCCAGATTTCACAGAGCCCTATGCTCCTTCATCTTTCCTTCCACCGCCTGACTCACCTCCCACAAACCTCAGGGCAGTGCTTCCTAGGACAATAACGGGGGTGGGGGCCTCCTCAGAGCCTCCTTACACAGCTTTGACTGACTGGACACTGAGGGAGCGGGTGTTGCCGGGGCTTCTCCCTGCCGCCCCTCGTGGTAGCCTCACTAGCCAGAGCAGTGGGAGAGGAAGTGCTTCCTTCCTGCGGCCCCCCTCCACAGCCCCCTCTGCAGGGGGAAGCTACCTCAGTCCCGCTCCAGGAGACACCAGCAGCTGGGCCAGCGGTCCGGAGAGGTGGCCCCGGAGGGAACATGTGGCGACAGTCAGCAAAAGGTAAAGGCAATAGCTACCCATCTTTGCCCTGGCCCTCCATGCTACCCTGTCAGTCCAGATCTCTCCCCTGCTCCGCCCCCGCCCGCCTAGGCTCTTTACCTTCCCATGTTCCTCCCTCTCACCTGGGAGAAGCTCTGCTGAGGTCGAGGAAGCTCAGTCTGATTTAGAGGAGCCTGGGTTCATACTCTGCAGGCTGCCCTCTGTTCCTCTACTCACACTTTCCACCTGTCCTAGCAGGAGGAACACATCTGTGGATGAGAACTACGAATGGGACTCAGAATTCCCCGGGGACATGGAGCTGCTGGAGACTTGGCACCAGGGCTTGCCCGGCTCTCGGTCCCGCCCTGAACTTGAGCCAGAGTTAGGTAGGTGAACTTCCTAGCCTGCTGCACTGCCCCGCACTTCTTGTCCTGTGTTCTGAGCTGGTCCGCCTGTTTCTCAGTCAGTTCCTGAGTCTCCTGCTCCCTGCCCTGGAGTGTCTCTTGCTCCCCAGGCTCCCTGCATGCAAAGGGCCTTTGGAGCCTCAGGCTTGAGCCCTTCACCCAATTAGTCACTGCATCTCCCATCTTCCCTTTGAAGGTGCGAAAACTCCAGAGGAGAGCTGCCTCCTGAACACAGGCCATGCTTCTGGCCCTGAGGCCCGCTGTGCTGCCCTTCGGGAGGAATTTCTGGCCTTCCGCCGCCGCAGAGATGCTAGCAGGGCCCGGCTACCGGCCTATCAGCAGTCCATCTCCTACCCGGAACAGGCAACTCTGCTATGAGCACAGTGTGAGGCTAGGAAAGGATATGGATCTGCAGAGGAGGCCAAGACTCTGACTCCAAGCTCGGCCACTGCCTCTACCCCTTTGTGCCCAGGCATAGACCCCTGATGATGGCCTGAGGGTAGGCTTGCGTGAGCTTGGTGTAGAATGAATGTATTGACTCTTTAGTTGAGTCTGGGGGGGGGGGGTGGTTGAAGCGTGTGTGTGTGTGTGTGTGTGTGTGTGTGTGTGGTGTTTATAGTGTGGGTGGTGCAGGTTCTTTTTTTTAAAAAAAAAACGGTGAATAAAAGTTTGAAAAACATGTCTCTGTTACCTATCTTTGTGTCTAAGAAAGGCGAGGAAGTCCCTGGACCTGTACAGAAAAGATACTGAATGGGACACATTCAACCATCATTCAAAAAATAGTTGTTGAGGGCCTAGTAGGGTCAGCTAGTGGAGATTTACTGTTAGGCTAGAAGCCATGAGAAAATACAGAAGTCACCGAGATAATGCTTTGTCCTTGGGGAGTTCTTTGTGGTCAGCGAGGCAGACAAACATTTACAGCAGACCAAGTTCTATGATAAAGCCATAAGCTGGCTATTACACTGGCACAAAGAGTCCGGATTGCGTCATTTCCTAAGTACTTAGAACGTGTGGGACTTCCTGGGACCCTCACAGGAGGCTGAGAACATTCCCTCTGTGCCAGACACGGTTCTGCGCTCTTTCTGAGTGCTGTTTAAGTGGCCACAGCTTTGAGTTTATTTTGTAGACCCGGGCAACTATTGCTTAAGATGCTTTCGTAATTGAGCAAAAGCCACACTGCAGGTAAGAGGCAGGGCAGGTGAGGTGCCAGTGAAGAAAGCAGAAACCTTCCGGGGGTTGGGGGGAAGACACCCTAAAGGCACAGAGGACCTAACGACATTCTTGAAGTATGAGTGGGTACTCTGGGAAATAGAAAATGCAAAGATCAGGGAGGAACTAGCTGTCATTTTTTTTTAAAATCAGGCTCAACTGAGGTCTCCCCTAGAATGTGAAGAAAGACAGCACTGGTGGGTTTTAAGTGGGGACTCCATTAATTGAAGCCTGGAAAAAAGCAGGTGTCCTGGACACCCCTAAACTATTGCTTTCCACCCTAATGGGCAGAAAAATGCCTGCCCACTTCCTCCACTAATCCTCCCCCTTTCCGATCCCGCCAAGATGTAAGGGGAAAATGTCAGGTTATCAAACATGAGATGGAAGGGTGGGAGAGAGAGACTCAGTCTGAACCCCAGGCCTTAAGTCCTACCACACCCCTTGGGCTCTGGGCAAGGAGTGACCTCACTGTTAGTTTTTGCCCAGGCTTGAAGTTAAATGGCAAGCAGAACCACGTGGGGGTGCTGTCCCAGCCTGTAAGCCCCATTCTGGTCACACCCTGCTCAGTCCTGGAGGAAGGCTCTTCAAGTACCTTCATTTACCTTGCCAGTTTTTAAGCCTGCAATCGCGAGCTAACCTAGGCAGAAAGTTTTCTACTGGATTGTAAGTCTGAGGTAGCTGAGTGGAGATTGGGTTCTCATGGGTGGAGACCTAGGCAGGGGCGCCAAGGACTCAGCAGGTCCTTTAACCATCATTCCTGCCTACAGACCACCTATCTTAAGCATTCCAGCATTCCTCTAGGCTGCGCCTTTAAACCTTCTCAGCCCTTGCCCCGCCCCTGGTCCGCCCCGTCTGAGGCGGGACCCTCCAGAAAACTCCAAGCCCGGCCGGGTCTTCAGCTCCACTCGCCACTGCGCAGCCCCTGACGTGCGCGTGCTCTTATCCAGCCCGCTTGGACGGTGAGCAGGACTGAGGGACCAAGGAAGTGGGGTGGGGTGGGGGTAGGAGTATGTGTGTGGTCTGTAGAAAGCAAGAAGCCAACACTTGATTGTTGCTCCAGGGAGCGTGGGGGTTATAGACTGGAGGTCGCAAGGGTCTGAACCGGGCGCCCCGCCCCGTGCTGTCAGGTCCGGTTCCCAAGTTTTGATTCTGCATTGTTGGACAATTAAGTAAAGCGAGCTTTGCGGGTGCTTAGACGGGGCGTCCGTCCCGACCCAAGGGTCGGGTTCCAAGCCCCAGCAGTCTACTCCAGCGTCGAGTTCTTGGGGAAGAAGGAAGGAGTCCGACGTTCGCAGGCTGGTGTTGAGTGGTGGCGAGAATAGGTTTCTGGAGCGCGCCCTGGTGCGTCTCCGCAGTCCCTGAATTTACCGTGCGACCCTTTCACTTCCTGGTCCAGGAGCACGTGTGGGCACTGCCTGACTTCTGTGTCCTCGAGACTGCCCTTTTGCGCCCTTTCCTGCTAGTTTGCTTTTCTGGGTACTCGGGTTCACCACCTAGGGTCACGGGTCTCGGTGCCTTACTTGCACAGTGGCCTGGTCTTCTGTGCGACCCCATCCCTTTCCTGGAGAGCCTTTAACCTCGGACATCTCTGGGCTGCAGCCCTGACTGCACTCGGTTGTGTCCTGTCTGGAGGGGTTGGCTGCTGTCCAAGCTCTCCTACCCTAGCCCAAGCCCCGCTGCCCCATCCCGTGCCCCCTGCTGCTGGGAAAGCTGGTGGTGGCCGCGGGCGGGCGGGCGGGCGGGCTGGCTGCCCAGACCTGCGTCACCCCAGTGGCGGGAGGGTGGTGGGTGACTCATCCGCAATAACGGCCCAGGGTGTGGCCGTGGGGGTGGGGGCGGCGGCTGAAGGGGTTGGACCTGCAGACCGGAAGTAGATTGCCTCCTCGCTGGGCTCCGCAGGCCTCCCCGTGTTCGTTTGAGAGAGGTTCTGGAATACTTGGTATCCGGAGCAGAAGCAGCGGTGATGGAAAGTGAAGGTGCGGTGTAGGAGACCTGTGGCTGGACGGGCTCCCCTTGTTCTCTTAATCCGGAGCAGGAGTCAGGGACAGCGCCTCATCTCTAAGCTCCTCCCAGTTTCTCCTTCCTGCAGTTCAGGGTACACCTCAGACTTGGGGACAAGGTTGGGAGGGGTGAGCAGGGTGCTATCGTTCCAGAGCCAGCAAAATAATCTTTGTCCTTGCCATCCCCTTGCGCACCCATAACTTTACTGTCTATGCCAACCCCCAGGGAATTGGCGCCCAGCCTGTCTTCATTCACTCCATGGCCTTGCCCTTCGAGATTGCCAGGTGTGGGCTTTCCTACCCAGGATGTGTCCTCTAGACTTCTTCGATTCTTGCTTCTCTACCCACAAACTACATATGCCCTCCCGGTCCTCCAAAGCTGCCTCCTTGTACCCTGAGAACGGTTAGGATCCCTCATACCCCTTTGCCCAGGGCCTCCACCCAAGTCTGTGTGGAGTGGGTGTTCCTGCCTGGGAGGCCCCCACCCTGCCTCCATTCTTCTGTTTGGTACACAGAAGTCATGGCAACAGCCTCCACCCCCTCCTCTCCTGAGCAGGCCTTGTGGCTTCCTGTTTGTGGAGCTTTCTCTTCTGCTCAGGATTCTAGGTGGTGAGGGGGCTGCCCCCTGGTGTGGGGAGGGTCTTCCCCCTGCAAGGCATCCCCTTAACCACAGTGCTCCCCAATGGCCTTCTGCCTACTCATTGGGCATTTCTGTTTCAGAAAAGTCCCAACAGTCCCAGCTGGGAAGTTCCCTATGCTCCATCTGCACTATAAGAGGACAGTCCCCTCGTTTTCCCAATAAACATTCAGTCAGGAATCCCAGAGTCTGACCCTTCCCAACTTGGTGTTCCCCTTGACTTCAGCATTGACGCTGAATGGGGCTAGGTAAGCTGCCAGTCGTGGTTTGGGTGGAGCCCAGGGCTGGAAGGCCTTTTGCGGCCCCTCCTTCTTTCCAAGCTCTTGTAACCTTGTAGGCTTGAGTGATTATTGTTCCTAGGGCTGCTGTTGGCTCTGGAGTTCGCCGCTGCCAGCCCGCCATGTAGGCTGTCCAGCTGTTGCCTCCACTTGAGATACCCGGTTCTGGTCATCTCCCACACCTGTGTTCCAGATTGACTGATGTCTTTAGCCCACACCGGAGGGAGACTTGATATTTTCTCTTTCTCTGAGGGAGGGCTGGGGTAGGTCTCCTGGGTGTAACTAGGGTGGGTCTCTCCAGCTGCAGCAGCCACAACCCATCAGCTGTCTGCCTGAGGGGGTAGGGAGAGACACAGCTGCTGGCCAGGCAGGCCTGGCTGGGATAGCTTCGTCTGAGAACTCCGCCCCATGGCTCTGCCACTTTTGGGTTCTGGGGTCATGGCCTCAGAGTGGAAGAGAGATACTGCAGCTGGACGGCAATGACCTTGCCAGCTGTGTCCAGGCTCCAGAGCCAGGGGAGGGACCCTCAGTAGTCCTCTGTCTGGAGATAGATCAGGGGCAGCGGGGGACACTGGAAGGGTCTGTCTTTGGACTCCTTCTTAACCCCGGTATCTGGGTTAATCATTCTCTTGTCCTTTCTTTACTTATGCCCGGGCTTCAGGCCCATGAGCTCCCTAGAAACAGCCCGAAGTGGCAGGGGTGAGGCTATTTCCAGAAGAGAAGTCTAGAAATTGGGCAGGGAAAGGAATCTTGCTTCTGATGAGAGCTTTTAGCCATCTCCTTTTCCTGTCCTGTCTTCTCGTTACACCTAGAGCGTATAGACTGGGAGCTGCGTGGCTGCGGGTGGACAGTGTGGGCGAGGATGCTCGCTTACCTCTTCTGCCAGGCCGCAGCCACTCCACACTTCTACCTGCCATCATCATGCTGATTGTGTGGCCCCATGGCGTGGTGTGGATCGGGACCTGGCCTAACATTTATCTGGTCTGGCTGGGGGAAGTCTCCTAATGAAGTTTAAAAATAGCTGATTTATGGGGCGGATCCTGCCGGAAATGTGCAGCTGGATAACCCAGGGTAGGAAGGGGCGGCCATGTTGAAGGGTGGGGAAGAGAAGGGGGCACTGGCCCAGCACACAACCTCTGCCCAGACGCATGACATTATTGGAGACAGCCTGGCTTCTTGTATTTTGGCGGAGCACCAGCGCCCGTTGTGGGGGTGGTGGGAGTGTTTAACCTGGGGTGCATGAGAGAGGGAGCCAGAATGACTTCATCCCTTAAGTCTGACCTGGCCTGGAGCCAGATGTGGGCTCCCTGCCTCTCATTGAATGGAGGCTCTTGTCCTGGGAATACCAGTTTTTGAGCTGTCAGAGACAGCCAGCTGTATTTCTGACCAGAGAGAAGGACCCCTAAACAG